GAGCTGTTGTTCACCATCTTAGCTGTAGAGGGCACAGCGTCACTGGCCCTAATGTGGCATCTGAACTAGGGCCCTGCTGCTCAGAGCTGGTGTCCCAAGCCAATTCTTAACCAACGCACCACTGGGCCGGCCCCAGAAATATTTTTTAAAAGGAGCTTCATCCAGTAAGTGTATCTGTGGGAGACAATTTACACCTAGAGTCCTGGATTTAATTCTGTGTGTTCAGTTTACTAGCTGTGGGATTATCCATGAGTCAAATCACTGAAGCTGAATTTTCTTTTGCCTCATACTAAATGTAGGAAACCAAGCCCTGGAATAATCCTGGAGCAGTTTAAATCTTTGAGGTCTAAGGCAATCATTTAGTTTTCTTAGCTGTAAAATAGGAAATAATAACACGTAATATTGTTTGATGGCTGTCTAGCTAACTGATAAATTTATGTATTTATGCTTTGAGATCTGAAGGAGTAATATTATCCTAAGAGATTTTTTTTTCATTTTTATAAAATTTCTGAAGTGTTTCTCAGAGTGAACCTCCCGCAAATGTGCCGCTTTGGCATGTGGACTATTTTGAGGGGAAGGCGATTAAGAGTGAGAAAACTTGAAAAGCTTTTACCCCTCTCTTAACTACCTAAAAGAATTTAGATAGGTACATAACAGTGCAAACAAATTTAGAGGTTAAAAATAGAAGGTGAAAAAATAGAAGCTTGCTTTCTTTATATACATTTGTAATGAATATTCATTCTTTTCTTAAAGTTATATTAAAATATAATTCACATACCGTACAATTCACCCATTTAAAGTACACAATAGTTTCAGCATTTCACAGATCTGTGCAACCATTACCACAATCAATTTTAGAATATTCTCATTACCCCCGAAAGAAACCCTACATCTCATTTGCTGTCACCTCTAATCCCACCGTCCCTCCCAGCCCTAGGCAACCACTAATCTACTTTTGGCTCTATAGATTTACCTACTCTGGACATTTCATATAAAAAGAATCATACAGTATGTGACCTTTTGTGACTGGCTTCTTTCACTTAGCATGTTTTTGAGGTTCTATCTATGTTGTAGCATATATCAGTAAATACTTATTTTTATTGCCAAATAACATTCCACTGTATCGACATACCTTCTTTAATTTATCGATTCATCAGTTGATGGATCCACTTTTGGGCTATTATGAAGAATGCTGTTATGAACGTTCATGTACAAGTTTATGTGAATATATGCTTTCAGTTCTCTTGCGTATATACCTAGGGATGGAATTACTGCGTCGTATGGTAACTCTATGTCTAACAATTTGAGGAGCTGCCAAACTGTTTTCCAAAGTTGCTGCACCAATTTACATTAAGTATTTTAGTCATTGAGGATTTCTCTTTTTGCAGCCTCCCAAGAAGGTGTAGATTACTCACAATGAGACAGCCACACCGTGAATTATAAGGAAAATTTCTAATTTGTCAAACCAAATTACTCCCTCTTCCCCAAAATGAATAAAGGATGGGGAAGTGGTGGAGGCAGGGAGGAAACAGGAGCACATGGTCTCTAGTTGGAACCCACATTTCCCAGGTTGAAATCGAAGATTGATTGTGCACATGGTAGGGATCCTAACACACTCTTATTTGTGTTATTCTAACCCTGCCACACTTCCTGTCACACTGGACACAGATGGTGCGAGTCAGTTGACATGAGGTGGGAAGGAAGATGCAGATGGAGCATGACTCAAAGTCTGGCCCCTAAGGGCTGAGTTTGAGCTCTAGCGAAACAGGGGTTACAAGCTGAAGCTGACGAATCTTTCACTTAGGACTCTGAGGCTAAGAAACAATTGATACGGCTTGGAACCCAGACAGGGATGAGAGAAATTCTCCTCACTGATTCACAGGCACTATTACACATGAGAACATCTTTGTCAGGGATTGCTGTCGAGGTGGCAATCAAATACATAGACTGATGACGTGTATGGAAGCTGCTTTGTGGGCAGAGGACATTGATGGGTGTGGGTGCTGAACATTACAAATAGCTGATAGGATCAGACAGTTCTGACAGACTAGTTCATCAACACCTAGGAGACACCTACTGCGGGGGTGGGGGGAGAGCATGATATTTACCTGGGTGAGCATATGAGGAAAGTCAAATGTCCTGCGCTGGGAGATGTGGTTAGGAGCCAGGGAATTACAAGTCATTCCAATTAATGTGGCTCCATTTGTTCCCNGTCAGTAGCTCTGGACACACTCAAGCACTTGGGCAGACTGAATACTACGGCTCTTGGCAGGACCAGATATTCTGGTCAGCCCTACTCATGGAGGCACAACTAACATTACTCATGCCCGGGGGCCCATTAGGTAGAAAAGAGTAATCTAAGGCACTTGGTAGTGAAGTTCTTTTACCCCTCCATCCCCAACCCTATCCCCAATTTGAGACTGCAGAGCATTTGGGAGCCCTTGGGTCTTCCTTTTTTCACTCCCTGAATGGTTACTAGGACCCTTCCTCCCCAGGTAATCAACCTCTCTCAATCCCTCCTCCTACGTGTTTCATGGGCAGTGCTTCTTTTTCTCTTAGTTCTCTCTTTCTTGAGTCTCTATGTGATGGCAGAGCTCCAGCAGGTCTACACGCATTTTTTCAAAATCAAGTTTACTAAGATTATACTTCACATACAATAAAATGCACTCATTTTAAGCATACAGTTTAATGAGTTTTGACAAATGTATATAGCCCTGAAGCCACCACCACTACCTCTTTATCATCTGCAAAGATCCCCGTGGATCTTCCTAGTCAGTTCCAACCCCATCCTCCACCATCCTCCTGGCAAACATTGCTCTGCTTTCCATCACTAGAAATTAGATCAGTATAAGAAAAGAGATTACTAGCTCATTAAGTTTTGAAAAGAAATTATTTTCTGCTGCTCACCAGCTCTCATCACGGGAATAAAAATCAACTTTAAGCTTTCAGTTTGTTTTCATATAAGAGATGGGAAAATGCCCATCTGTAAGAATCGCTTCTTCTACTTCACACCTTGAAGTGATCAAACTATCAGGGCAAAACTCCCCTCAATGTGAGTGGCGTTTGCACTACTGCACTACCAATTCCATCCTTAATAATATCTGCTGAAGAGAAGTGCTGCCTTTAGAAATGACAAGAAAAAAAGCTTTTTAGTCCTTCAGGGAAAAACAACAGCAAAAAAAACCCCATAGTCATTCCCTTAGGTCTAACACTGAATCAGCAAACTTTGCGCCTGACTGGATCTAACCACCCCTGCCAAGCCTACCTCTCATTCCAGCTCCTGGCTCCCAGCTCCACCAGCTGTTCCACTGACAGTTCTAGAAGTTTAAGGAGCTGAGGGCATTTACCAGAAAAAGCCACAGAAATAAAAAGCACCCATACAGATAAAGGCATGTTTAGTCCATAAGTAACAGGACAAACTCAGGAACTTGTCTGAACCTGAGAAACTCAATTTGCATTCAAGATCACAGGTGTTTATGCATTTTATCTCACTGACCTCATGATGGTGACCTGCTTTCCTGCTGGTCTGAAAAGCTGGGGTCTGAGCTGATTTGCTCTTCAGAAATCTTCCTTAGTGTGCTTCAAGTAAATGCCAAAGGAGCTATATAAAGGCAAATTGGGCGTGGTGGGGGAATGCATCAGCTGATGTTTTCTCTCATTTCTCAGTGATTGCCTTTCCAGAAAGGGAAGAGGAAATGGAAAGTGAAACTGACTTTAAATCAAGAGGGAGAAAAGAAAACTGAAGGTTGAGGTCTGTTATGACTTACAGAAGTACTTTGTTTACAATCATGGCTCAAACTACAGACCCCACTCCCACTGACCACAAATCTAGGCTGGGTCCCAGGAAGCTGTATTTTTTTTTATAAGTTAAGCACTGCCTAGTTTTGTTTTTTAATTTTATTTACTTTTTATTTAAAGATTTTATTGGGGAATTTGGGGAGGAGAACAGTGTTGGGGAATTGGGGAAGGGGGCCTGCCAAGTTGTTGCTCTTCAGTCTTCGTTGTGGAGGGCGCCAGTCACCATCTGGCTTCCCTCCGGCAGCTCGTGGCCTCTAAGCTCAAGGTGCTGTGTTCAATCTGTTGCGGGTGGGCATAGCCACCATCCCATGCAGGAGTCAAACCCAGCAGCCTTGTTGATAAGAGTGCACACTCNCTGTGCTATAAAAAAGAATGCAATCTTACCATTTGCAACAACATGGATGGACCTAGAGAATATTACGCTCAGTGAAATAAGTCAGACTGAAAAAGACAAATACCATATGATCTCACTTATATGTGGAATCCAAAGAACAGAATAAACGAGCAAACAAAACAAACAGACACAGAGATACAGAGGAAAAACTGACAGTTGCTAGATGGGAGGAGGGTTGAGGGATGGGGGAGAAGGGGAAGGGATTAGAAAGTACAAATTGGAAGTCACAGATTAGGCACGGGGATGTGAAATACAGTATGGGGAATATAATCAATAATGTTGTATAGATTATGTAGGGTGTCAGATGGGTACTGGACTTCTCAGGTAGATCACTTCATAGATTGTGTAGATGCCTGACCAATGCGCTGTATACCAGAAGCTGATGTAGAATAATATTGAGTGTCAAATATAATTAAATATATGCATATATATATATATATATATATATATATATATATATATGGTCATGGGATGTAAAGTACAGCATAGGGAATATCGCCAATGATATTATAGTAACAATGTATGATGTCAGAGGGGTAGTAGGCTTGGCAGGGTTATCACTTTGTGAGGGGAGTGAATGTCTGATCATTATGTTGTTCTGCACACCTGAAACTAATTAAAAAAGAAGAAAAAAAAGTGAGCCAAGGAACCCTCCAGAATAGTACTTCTTACATCTTAATGTGCACATGGGCCAAATCACCTGAGGAGCTTGTTAAAATGCTGGGTTCAGGTCTGGGATGCTGCCTTTAAAACAACCTCTCAGGGATGTTAGACTCACAACACACTGTGAGTAGCGAGGGTGTCAATCACTAGTTTTTCGTCCCTAAAGTAGCCCTTCAATAGGCAAGCCTTGCTTTATGTCAACATCCTTCCCACCCCTCCCAATCCCCGCCCACTTGAGGCTTCCTCCACTCCCATTTACACACATACAAGACAGGGAGCAATTTATAGGAAGTGCCTGTGGTCCTCTTTAAATACTTATTCCCCTGCCCCCCCCCCACGGCCCCCAGGCTCTATTTCTGATCTACTCAATTAGGATTCCAGAATGCAGGGCCCAGGAATTTGCACTGTAACAGGGCACTCTGGTTGGTTGTGATACTGGGCACCTGTAACACAGTTTGAGACTCTGCAACACTTTCTCCCTGTTCACAGGGGAGGGCTAGCAGGTCAATAAGAAGATATAGTCCTCAATTCTGAAAGAGCAAATTGCAAGGTAGAAATGACCTCATTAAGAACTGGAGTTTTGGGGTGGCCGGTTAGTTCAGGTGGTTAGAGGGCAGGCTCATAACACATGGACCAAGGAGCTGCGCCCGCCCACAACTAGATTAAAAGAACTGCTTGACTTGGATCTGATGGGTCCTGGGAAAACAGTGTTCCCCAATAAAATTTCAAAAACAAAAACAAAAAGATTTTTAAAAAAAGAACTGGAGTTTTGCAGTGCTGAATTAGTTGTTAGCACATTTGCTGAGAAGTAAACATGCTTTTAAAATAACCACAACAGAACTCATAAACACCTCTGATTTAGTCTATAAGAAACAAAAGAGGGCCCAGGACCTCCAGTAACTGTCCTCCAGGCCTGCACTCTCATTGCCCAAATTTTGCCTGAAAGGATCTGAGCAGGTTTTCCCTGTAGACTCTCAGCAAGCTTCATCCCCTTCCCAGCTGCTAGTGCTGCTGGGAACATGTCCCCTCAGTGTCCTTAGGCTGCCTGCCTCTCTGAACAGAAAGAGCCATGGGAACAAAAATGCATGAATTGGTAAGATTGATTTATGATCAAGTCAGAGAAAAGCATATTTAACCTATANTCTCTCCAACGTGCATTTTGACTGCCTCCAGGATGTGGCATAAAACAAAATTGGGAGCACTTCATTTCTCATAATGGAGTTCAAAGGAAGAGAGGAATGTAGGTGAAAGCAGATGTTAACAAGATTTGACAGGGAGAAGGGCAGTAGCCCACCCATTGTTGGTGTGAGGGCAGGGGGTATGTGTGCACGAGGGTGCATGGTGGTGGGTGTCAGGATGTAAGCTGAAGTCCTGGCCTCTTAAGTAGCTTAAAGTAGAAAAAAAAATGTTCTATTCAGTGGCTATGATGTTAGACCAGTCTGAGTTATTGGAGCCAGTTCATACCCAGTATAACTTTTTGTTTATCCATAGCTGAGTCTGGAAAACTAAAGGTACAGCAAAATTTCAGAAAAACAAGAACATCTCTTTGTGTTGCATCACATCTAAGTTATTTATTAACGAAATCTGTGGCTTTTATCAGGAATATATACTATGCATACACTGATGGTCTCAAGAGCACACAACACTATTTTTAATGCAGAAAATAACACAAAAGCCATTGTGACAGTAGTTGGAATTTTTAATTTGAAAAAACCTTGAATTTTATATGAGGTTTTAATTGCTTAATAAAAGTGTTAATGTATACTTAAATTTATTGAAATGTATTTTACATATAACATTGTGTCAATTTAAGGTGTGCAACAAGTTGATTTTATACATTTATATATTATAATGTGATTGCCATTTTTCCATAGTTAACACCTCTCTCACACTGTGTAATTATTATATTTTTGAGGTGGAAGTAATTAAGATTACTGATGATTATAACACAATATTGTTGTCTATATCCACTGTACTGTGCGTTAAACCTCCAGGACTTCTTTATCTACTAGTTGCAAGTCTACCCTTAAACAACATCTCTCCTATTTTCCCACCTGTACCAGTCTCAGGTAACTACCATTTCAATTTAAACTAATTCCAACAGGCAAACATTTTGCAACCCAGAAGGTGACTGAATGATAGTCTCCTGCTGGGTCCACTGACTGTTTTGGGTCACACCAACCTGGCAGGCTAGTCAGTATCTATCTAGAAAATCCCAATTGGCCCAAACATACTATGAATGTGGGGGTTTTCATTAAAATTTTCAGGGTTAAAGGAACTTTTTTTTTTTTTAAAGATTTTTATTGGGGAATTGGGGGAAGGGGAACAGACAAGTTGCTGTCGTTTTGTTCTTCAGTCTATCTAGTTGTGGAGGATGTTGCTTCACTGGCCCAAGCTGGCACCATCATTGCGCTCTTCCTGGGCGAGGCAGATCAGTCGCCGGCTTCTGGACGGCCGCTCACTGCGACTGCTGGCCACTCACGCTGGCTGCTGACTACACACGGTGGTAGCCCATGACAACCCACTGCCACAGGGGCTACAGCCTACGCTGTCGCCGGCGACTTAACAGCAGCGCAGCTCCAGGTTGAGCTGTTGTTCAGCATCTTAGCTGTGGAGGGCAGTGTCACTGGCCCTCATATGTGGGCCATATGATCCGAACCGGGGCCCTCTGGTGTCCCAAGACAGCTCTTAACCATCGAGCCACTCGGCCGGCCCTAAAGGAACTTTTATATCACCTAATATACATTTCTAATGGGGGAAAACTCCCCATTACTGATGTCATTTCCCAAGACCTCTGTTCTGCTGCTTTCTTATCATTTTGAACCTGAGCTCATCAAAGTTTTTTTTTTTTTTTAACAAAGTAAGTCTTCATCTTATAAAGAAATTTTCCTAATAGTGGCAAAGACAGTGAAAATTTCTCCATATGGTTACAATCTACAATGACAAACCAGCATTCCTCTCTCTCTTTTGCCTACTACTCTGTTCCTATGCCTACTGATGAGACCTTCATTTTTCCACACAAGTTTTAAAGAAATGTATTATTTTGGATTCTAGCATATTGTACAGAATCCCTTTTTTTATTCTTCACTTCGTATTATGATTACCGGGAAAGCAGAGTGGAGGCAAATTCTCCCCTGTGCCTCCTAAAACTCTTGTACTGTGATTGCCTAACTCCATTGGTTGTCCGAGATATTTCCCTTCTGGACTGGACCTAGTCTCTGCTCTCCTGTTTTCAAACTATGTTCCCACTTCAGTTAATGGGACAATTGAACTCCTGTTGTATAGGACAGTTGAGGTTGAGGATTATCTGGGGTGGAGGAGAGAGAAGGCAGAGCGAGAAAGAGAGAGGACAGCTAGCCCTGTCCAAGCTTTGGTTTCCCAGCCTTTGGATCGATACAGAACATTCCTGCACAGGGTCTCAAATGACTCCAAGGATGGAAAAACATTGTCAAAATGGACCATTGTGTTATAGATGCGAGGGATCTGCTTTACATAGACATAGAAACAAACCCACAGCATCACCACATGGAGGATGACTAAGAGAATGTCACAGAGCAAACTGCACCCCAGAAGTCAGGTGGGAAATAGCCCCTTTTCCCAGCCACAGGGCCTGCTCACCAATCTATCCCTCTCCCAGACTCCCTGAGCAATTCAAGTGTTAAGTCTTGGTCCAACAGAGTTCTCCCATACTCCTAATCCAGTACTATGGGCCAGTGTCTTAGTCCACACCTATGCCATACTAGTTGTTAAATATTTTGAACACCAACTTGGTGGAAGGGTTTCAGCTGTCTTCTAGCAGCAATCCTATAGGCACCATATCCTGATTCCTCATTCCTCAGCTAAAGATGCTGAAGGGACAAGGCATCCAGAGTCCAAGTCTCTCTCGGAGGTTTCATCTGCAGGCTGCCTTTCCCCATTCAGCTCCTCAAGAAATGCCAAGAGATGCAAAGTCTCAGGATCTGCTCTATTTTTAGAAAGCCTGGTTTTGGCAATTCTTTGCAGTTTGTTTTTCATTTTTTCTTTCTCCTTTGTCTCTTGGTTTATTTTCACACCCTCCATAAAATGGTGGATGGCCTTGTCTTCGCACTTCATCTGGAACCGCTGAAAGTTGCCATATCGCAGATGGAGCACTTGTTTGTCTACAGGCATAAGCTCTTTGCTGAATTCTTTTTGGAAGTAATATTCTGCTTCTTCATACTTACCTGCCTGTGCACAGAGGCAGGCAAGATAGGAGCAGACATGGTGGAGATTTCCATTGAGCTCATCAGCTCTCTTTAAATAACTCACAGCTTGTTCTATTAGTTCCTGTAACTCTTCTCTTTCCCCATATCTTCCATTCTCTCCTGTATTCTGATACGCGTGGACTTTTGCCCTATAGCATGCCCCAATATGGTAATGCAGGTAGGCATTGTTTGGCATATATTCTAAAGCCCTTTTAAGCAGTTCTATTGCAGTGTCTTGGTCATTCTGTTTTCGATACAGCATTGCGGCAGCACGAAGCACATCGGTTGCATGTGGGGCTTTCTCCACAGCTTCTTCAACTAACCTCTGTCCTTCACCTTCCTGGTTCATCTTCTGCAGCTTCAGAGCCAGGAGGGCTTTAACATACTGGTTGTCAGGATTGTCAGGATTCAGCTGAATGGCTTGACGCAGGGCGTCAATGGGATTCTGAGGTGGTGACCATTTATCCAGACGGTAGCTTGAGATAGCCAGTCCAGAAGTGAATTCCGGGTTCTTTGGGTTCCTCTCCAGACACTTCTCAAAACACACTTTTGCCCTTTCAGTGTTCTTTCTTCCACACTTCAGTCGTGACCATCCTTCTTCACAATCTATCTCAGGACTCTCAATTCTGTAAGGGCTGGAAAACTTCTTGCACACGTGTTTCACCTTGTCTACATAAGCCTGAGCTTCGGAGAGCCTGCCCATGTGATAGTAGACCCAGGCGTAGTTTCCCCAGGTGACCAGGCTTCGGATTTCTGCTTGGTCAGCATGCTCTCGCTGGATTAACTCTTCAGCTTGACGTAAGTATTCCAGTGCTGCCTCGTTTTGGCCTCTGTGGTGTTGGATGTAGGCCAACAAGTTGTACATGGTAGCTTTGAATCCGCTGCTCCGAAACTCAGTGTGGTTACACACTCTGTCTTCAAACTCATCCAAGGAACTTTCTCCCTCTAACAAGTTCCAGGTGAAATGGCATTTCAGTTGCTGTAGGCTGCTCTCCAAGGAGTTCTTTGTGGTCTCACTGTAGGGAAAAGCAGAAAGATGGACATTTTGAGCCATAGCACAGATTCACCTGGTAAGAAATTCTCCTCCTCTGAAAGGGTATATACCTCAATCAAAAAAGAACAATATTTCTTTTTTTTTTCTTTCTATAGTTTGGCATGTGTTAAATGCCTAGGGAAGTAGTGATCAGATGACTGTGGGCAGCAGAAGAATTATGCAGAGAGAGAAGAGGACTGAGGCACATTTCCCTAAATATGGCCATTTCTCTTAAGCAGCGCTGGCCCTCTGCTTTCTCTTTGTGAGGGCCTCTGCAGAGGCCAAATCTGTGGGGACTGATTTCAGCAGAGGTTTTTTTGTACTTTTCAAGAAGTAAGGCTATTTAATCGCTTTTTCTTTCTTTCTTTCTTTTTTATAAAGATTTTATTGGGGAATTGGGGGAGGGGAACAGACAAGTTGCTGTCCTTTCGTTCTAGTTGTGGAACACGTCGTTTCACTGGCCCATTTTGGTATTATCATTGCGCTCTTCTCGGGTGAGGCAGTCGCTTGCCGGCCATTGGAAGGCCACTCACGGTAGCTCACAGCAGCCCACTGCAGCTTCATTGCAGCCTTCGCCGTCACTGGCGACTCTCAGCAGCCCAGCTCCAGGTCGAGCTGTTGTTCACCATCTTAGCTGTAGAGGGCGCCCGTCACCGGCCCTCATGTGGGATCTGAACCTGGGCCCTGCTGCTCAGAGCTGGCGTCCCATCCCAACTCTTAACCAACCGGCCCTTAATAGCTTTTTATATCTGATTTTCCTCCTACCTAGCATTTACTTTTGTATTTTGAAAATTTTAGCCTTGCAATTTTCTCTTCTTTTAATGTTTTGCCATCCTGATTTTAATCTCTTTGTTACCCCTCTGATATTAAACTCCATTTTATTGTTTGTACTTTTAATTTCTTAGTTGTCCTTAATTTTTCTTTTTTATATTTATTATTTTCCATTTCCTCTCTAATTATTTGAGCTTTTGATGTATTCTTAAGTGGTTTTCTTTGTTTATCTAAGCCTTTTTATCAAATCACTTTTGTCTTGTCCTTTTTATTATTTTGATATTCTATATTCTTATATTTTTCAACTTTTCTATTTGAACATTTAAATCTGATTTTCAATTATCCTTAATTTTTACTCATTCCCCTTACTTTTGTATTATTCAGCCTCTTAACTTGGTTATTATAATATGTGTTAGCAATCTCTTAAACTTTTATTTTGGAATAAAGATAATCACTCCCTTACCTCCCAGCCCCCTCATACTGGCAACTTTGTTTCTTAACATGTCTCATTGAGTTGCTTCATTAATAATTTTGCATTTGCTGCTTTAATTTTCTTTTGAAATTTTATTTTTGCTCTCCTGTGGTTTTCTTTAATAACAGGAGGTTAGACGTGGGGCTACAGGAGGGGGCTCACAAGACAGCTAGCATCTTTTCTTACGGGAAATGCTCTTTCTCATTTAAGGTGTCCTTACAACTCTTCTGGAAAGATTTTCCGTTCCCTTCAGTGCTGGGCCTCAAAACAAACAAACAAGCAAGCAAAACCAACCACACAGAAAGAGCAAACAGACAAATAAACCAAAATCCTATCATGAATAACTTTGAAGATAAGTAGATTAGAAATCATCAATAACCCCAAATTGTTTTTCTACATTGCCTATGTATTGTAGTCTCTGAAATGTTGCTTTTTCTCACTTAAAATTCTGTTTATAGTGTATATTAATTAGCCCTTTTATCAGGAGCTGATATTCTAAATGTTATGGAGCCTGACATAGACAACTAATAGGTAGGTATCTGGGAAGTCATGTAATGTGTCAAGGATCACTTTTGAAATATTTGTCCAAATAGGAGGTTATGTACCCTATTTTCTTCCTGCTCCCTACCTTTTACTTTTAATACACTCCTTCCACCTTCCCCACCCCCCAATTTGATCGGACCATGGCTGGGTACTCAAACGCAAATGGAAGTGGAGATGGAACTGAGAGGGAGTAAGGGAGCCAGAGGCAGTTTCCACATGTTAAGAAGAGTGCTGTGCATGCTGGGGGTCTGATGGCGACCATATTCTGTATTATATGCTGCAGAAAGAATGACTCAGATGCACTTGGAAAAGACACAGAGTCTGGGTCCCCCAAGCTCCCTAGTGTCCTTCTGGGGTTGCTATAGTCCTGTGTGTGGGGCCTGTGAGCCATTTTAGGAATTTTAAATCAGTTCCTGCTTGTTTCTGTTATTTGAAACAAATGGAAACGCAACTATCCCAAGTAGAATAAACAAAAGTTAGGAAGGAAAATGGGTGGGAGTTTCCGCTCAGGGAAGGACCCTGTGTCCTTTCAAAGCCCTAGGCAGGTCTCAGTGAATAGCCAGGTTGTCTGAGGCTCTTGATGTAACACGTGTGGGGGAAGGGAGTGGCAGAGCCCAGGAGGGTGTCTGGCTTGGTCTCTGTATTGTAATGACAGCAGCCTCCCCTTGAAAAGTTCATGTCTGGCGTAATCTATCTTCTTTCTTAGTGAGGTTATGGGAAGATTTCCTTAAGCACATGAGCTCTTTAGCTACTTTCTCATTTTACAAAAGAAACAGAGAGTAAATACAGTTGAAACTATCTCCAACGTATAAAACATATAGTCAACTGTGCATTTACAGGACAGACATTTGATATATACACTTAAGCAAAACCCATTTGATCAACCATTCAAAAGGCATGCAATTTCCCGGAGAGATTATGAATTTTATTTCCACTGGTAAATCAGAAGCCGGTCCCAGATACTTGCTTCTAACTCAGGCCTGTTAGATTTATACGCCTGATGCCTCTAGAAGTTCGAACTGTTTACACAATAACAATTTTTTTTTTTTTTTTGACAAAAAGTCCTCGAAATTATCAAGAAAGGAAATTATACTTTACTCTGGAACTTTTGGTAAAATGCCATCAATTTTTTTTTTTTTTTTTTTTGCCCAGCTTCTGGTCTGGGTGAAGCCACAGTGACACTGCTCACCAAGTGGGGAGCTAATGCTGCCCCCACAGTGTCTGGGAGCAGTACCAGCACCTCTGAGGAGGCTGTTAGAAATGCACATTTTTGGCCCTCAACTCAGAACTACCAAATCAGAATCTGGGGTGGAGGTGGGGGCTGACTCCAGAAATCTGTCTTGAACAAGCTTTCCAGGTCGTTCTTATGTGAGCTCAAATTTACAAGCCATTGTCTTTAGAGCACTGGGGCAATGGGTGTTGACAGTGCTCATAGAAAAACAAGCAAGGGCCGGCTGAGTGGCTCAGTTGGTTAAGAGCTCGCTCAAGAGTTTGAGCTCTGAGCAACAGTGGTTCGAGTCAGCCCGAGCTGAG